GAAATCAGCTTGAATCTCGAGCTCCTGAACGACACTCAACGAATTACCGGGCTAACGACAAACAACTTTTCGGAGGCAATTCGAAGAGTTTCCCGATATGATTTTTCTCGCCGACGCCGTGATCTGGAAATTAAAAAAGTTTACGCTCCGAAGAGTCGTCGACAATTAGACGGTTCTCCACGTGACCGTTCGACGGATTCGTCGCTTCATAGATTCCCACGAATTCCTGGGCGCGCGAGTGTACACAGTATTTCAAGTCAGGCGTTGGCGATGCTCGACGATGAATTGCGCGGCGATAACGAGATACGACGCGAGTTACGATCGCGACAACGAAGAGCGAGAGGAGAGATGTACGGTAAGCCGCGAGTCGCCGCCGATTTACGTTCACATTCTCTCTCTCTTCTCTCTCTCTCTCTCTCTCTCTCTCTCTCTCTCTCTCTCTCTCTCTCTCTATTTATCAATTACGACTTGGTGCGTATCTAGCATCTTGCATGTGTGCTGCATCACGCCGGTCCAACAAATACCAACGCGATCGCGATGTGCTTAAAGCGCGGTGCACAATGCCGACGTGCACAATGTAAACAACAACGTCGTTTATTCCTGCCAACGCCGCATTAATTGGTAGCACACGTGTGTGTTCTTTCCTCCCCCTCTTCTCTTCCCCAGCTCTCTTTTTTTCCCTCACAGTTTCTCCCTCGCGTGTCGGTCGAGAAATGAAGTCAGAGGTTTTCGAAGTTTCTTCACGCGCGTTTCAACAAATCGCTGACTCGTTAAAGCAGTCGCGATGGGCTCCGCCGCATTGCTGAACGCAAGTCGCGTGGCGAGTCTCGATCGGTTGCGTAAGATCAAGTGGGCAGATAACGACTTCCTAATGAGCGGTTGTAGGTTCTTCATTACGCGCGAAAAGTTTTTTAGGCTCGGAGAATGGAATCGCGTCCGTGCAATAATGGCGCGAGCTGCGTGCGCGGCGCGTCTCGGCAAACAGTGCGTATACAAAAATGCGAGCAACGGGGATTTATATATCCGATCCTCCTTCTCTTTCTTTCCCTGGTCATTTGTAATCAATTTTTCTCTGTCATTCTTTCTCTCTCTCTCTCTCTCTCTCTCTCTCCCTCTCTCTCTCTCTCTTTCGTCGGTGAGTATTCAATTATTCGTATTAACGAGCTGGTAAGTTGAATCGCGATTGCAACTGAAAAAGTTTGTCTCTTTTCGCCCAAGTTTTCGACAATATCCTCAAAGGCGAAGAGCGGATTGAAATTTTAACGAGCCACGCTCCGAATCGCATCCGCGCTCGTACATAAATTGTTGTGGATTATACAGCCGATTGAATAACGAGGTGAAATTTTGGAGCACGGGGCGAAGAGCGCACGCGCGGGAGAGATTTCCCGGAGTTATTTTAAAATGTGACAATTTTCCGCGCAGCCGCTGCCAAAATCGTATTAAAGCACGGCCGGTGTAGCGTTTAGAGACACTTGCGACATATTATGATGATACGTGGCCTACGTCCAAATCGACGAGTTTTCATCGAGATCTGAAAATACGAGAGCGTGCAAAATCGCACCGCCACGGTCGCGGCGTAATTTGCGCTCCAAAAAAGGCACATGTTTCGCGCGCCGCCTGGAAATATCTCGATAATCGAGGCCGAATAATTGCTTTCATTATATCAATTTTGACAAATATTGTTTTACGCGTGTTAAAAACACGTTACATAATATTCCCGCAATACGAAGCGCGAGCCCGCGCGAGGTGGAGGAGGAATGCACGGAATATTCGGATCGGAAAAAGAACTGAGTAATTCAATTTTCATTTGTACGCGTTTGCTTCTCGGCCGCTCGCTTATCGTTTCAATGGAACGGATCTCGATGATGAGAAATCGCCTGTCACCGAGCGAGCGAGCGAGTTGCAGCATGCACTCCGTTTCGTGGTCGGTTTTCGTGATTTCCGCTCGAGACGCGGCACTTTTCGCGCGGTCAAAACGCGGCGAAGAACGTCTAAACAGACGTTGAGTTTCATTTAATGGTTACGAGCTATTTGCCATTTCGCACTAGATGTTACAACGTTCGTAGCTGGCATGCGGCAGCCGCGAAACGTACTTCGATTGACGAATGCATGTACACGTAACAGATTCCCTGCAATTATCTGAGCACCGTGTGTCGAGCACCGAGAATGACGGTCGGGCAATAACAACGGTATTGTACTAGAGTATATAGCGCGTCCATAATGGCTGAGCCATTTCCAGTTCCTGCACGCTGAATCCGTGTCATTACAAAATTCCGCCGCTGCTGAGTCTGTCTTTTCACTTTATTCGCTTCTAATGCCGATATCCTCCTCTCTCCGCGGGACGCAATTTTTGACGCAATTTTTGCGAGAGAGAAAAGAGAAAGATTTCACTCGAGAGGACATTTCGAAATTTACCCTGAAGATTTTCGAACTTACAATAATAAAAAATGAATGTTTCGGAACGCACGCGAAAGCTTTCGTCAACGTTCGATTAATCTAAAAATATTGAGAATTAATCTAAAAGGCTTGAGGAGTGAAATTAATTATTATTGTAAACATTATTATTATATAAATATTATTAAATTTTTAGTGAATGTGTAGCACAGAATTTGCGAGAACGCATGTCGCGATTTCATCGAAGAAGACGCGTTTTGCGTTTTGCTTCAACGAACGCATCCCAGCGACGCTCCGCGCATGCGTGAGCGAGCGAGCACGCGGGGCGGAAGCGCGAAATTCCAATAAGATTTATTAAGAGTTATGAGACCCGATTGAACGCGTCTTATATATGGCAGAGAGATTGGAATAGACGATGCGTCTCGCATTCGTTATCGTCGTCGGACGCAGCGTCTATCAATCTCTCGCGAGAGCTCGGCGTACCACTAACGCACAGTGAGCCCAAATCCGCTCGTAGCGCGACAAAAATATTTTTTTAAGCACGTAATCTTATCACAACAAGACGTTAACATTCATAAATAATCGAAGTAGAGTTAGGCATAGTTGTAAGGAATATACTAGTCGATCATAAAATGATATTAAAAGGAGGTTTCTTTCGCAGTTGGTAATAATGATTAACGAGTCATAATTCGGTTATAGTTACGATCGGTAGTATCATTGATTTCTGACATATTTGACGAAAATTTTATCATAGACCTCTTAGTTCAAGGCATATACTTTATATTGTATTCACTCACTTCTCTAAACGCAATGAAAAATTGTCCCAAAATAAAGTTCCAAATAAAAGTATATTTTTATCGATTTGTTTTCCAACCTCAATCTTCAACTATGTTTCTATTAAGAGGGTAACACTTAGTAACAGTTTTCTCTTTATATTTCTAAATCCTCATTTCGTGACGATTTCAAAATGGTATAACAATATCGGTAAAGGCCGATACAACATTATTTTTTTTTGTCTTTAGGTCTGTTTCACGTAAAAAGTTGTACGAAGCTTCGAAATTAAAGGGTCCTATTCGTCTAAGAAACGTTGCAAGTCGACCTCTATTAATTGAAATTATTATTTCAATAATATTTAATGACAAAGAAGAATGTTCTAAAAACTTTATGAATGAAATAACAAGGAAAGTAAATGCATTTACGATTTTATTACATAAATATCTAACGAATTGTTTTCACAAAATCAAAATTCTGGAGAATAAATATAAAGATCGGTTATCCGGAGAAATACATTTATACTACAATCCAAAGGATCCTTCTTAAATTTATCAAGAGGACAGTCCGAAGAAACTATTCGAAGAAAGTTCCAATCGCTCAAAATTAAGGAAAATTAAGGAAAATATTATTTAAATTCTTATTTTTACTTTTTTTATTCTTCTTATCTTGTTTTATATTGTGATAAATACGAATACTACTAAATGCCAAACTGTTAAATTACTTGTTTTAATAAAAATATGTGTTATGTATCAAAATAAAAATGTTTAATTAAAAAGGAAAAAGGAAAAATCTATTTCTGTGCAACGCGTCAATAACGAGTTTATACCAGCTGAATCGTAACGCGGATCCAACTCCGTATCAGATTCGCGATATACTTATGTATAAGTAACCAGATATCACAGCGAATACGTCCGTGAATTGTGCACTACGCCGTTGCACGGAATTTTATAAATCCGACGTAACGCGAGAAGGCGTTGCGTCGCCGCGGCAGCGACGACGACGACGACGGCCCGGTCGGCCGTTCGTCCGATTATGACCTATGACTATTCGATTGGCCATTATTCACTTGAGAATAATACCCGGATCCTCCTTACGCGCGTTCTCAAATCACCGTCACTGTAGACGCGGCCGTTCTATTCTCGCGTCGTCAAGAAAACGCATAAATCTTCCTCCGACCTTCCTACCGCCGCCGTGCTCTTCTCTTCTCTTCTCTTCTCTCGGACTCCGCGAATATAATCCGACGAGTCGCGCGATCGAGCGGTTTTAATCTCGAAGTTTCCCGTCTCTAATTCAGGTCAAGGAATCGCGCCTAGGTCGCAGCTGCCTCCGGTCTCTCGAAGTACATGGCAGTTTCTCAGCGGAGCCCCGAACTAATTGTCCATCGATACTTCAGGTATGGCTGGTTATCGAGAAACAAAGGGAGACAGAGAGGGAGGGGAGAGAAGGACTACTGCGGTTCACGATACGGTGCAGTTGCCACCTTGTTTGTAGTCCTTTATCGAGAAAGAGTCGATGATAACGAAACGTTCCGTACGGTTGATCAAAGCCGCGCGCTCTGTGCTTGTTGGAGTTTAAACTTGACTCTTGAGTGCTGTCGTCGATTTAAATGTCTCGAGTGTTCCCGCGATAAGATAATTATTGCAAAGCGACGTTAGAGCTGTATCCGTTTCCCTTTTTCATTTGCGATATCTTTTTGGGCGTTGAATGTTTTTATGTCTTTGAAAAGAGAAAAAAAATGGTTTTCGAGTCGCAGAGAACTTGGTTAAAAATGTTCCTTTTCGCGTCAAAAGCAGAAGGGTTGTTTAGTTTAGCATAAAAGGGAGAGTAGCGCGCCACGCGAAAAATCCGTGGAGATCGGGGCAAAATCAAAAATAAAAATCGCTTTGAGAGAGAGAGAGAGAGAGAGAGAGAGAGAGAGAGAGAGAGAGAGAGAGAGAAAAAGAGTATGTCCGAAGAGATAAGTATGGCTATTGAATTTTCGTTCGACGCAGACGCCGCGAATATCGAATTTATTTTTAGTTCTCGCTTCGAGGAGAGCCAATTTATTTCAAGAGACAAGAGCGCGGGGTCGCGCTTTGACTTTTACCTCGCTCAAGTTCAAACGATTAAACGGGAATCTCCAGAGACAAAGCGGGGGCTATTTAGTATCTCCAAGCGCCACTTGTATTTTACGCGGTTCAAATTCCCTCCCTCTTTCGTCCAAGGAGAGCTTCATATTCGTCGTCCCGCGACTTTCGAGCTCCAGTCGAGACGAATTCTCGATTATTTTTCTTTTTTTTCGAACGCTGCCCTTTGTCACTTCCGTTCGCAATTCGCCGAGTATACGCGACACGCGAGTGCGGTTTGTTAGCGAACTTCAGGCCCGACTTACATCGGTCGCCGACATATTCATCGGGAAGTCATAAATAACGAGATAACCGGGCGATATCTAGTATCTATGCTCAAATGGATGTGTCGGAGTCGCGTGTTATCAGTAAATTTAGACTACGACATGGTATAATATGCGAGGCAATAAGTGCCGGTTATCGAGGTAATTTCAAGGCGATATCGAGCGTAAAGGCCGAACGCGAGGCTATAAGCTCTCGTTGCTGTTTTCCACCTTGCGGTTCGAGGTAAGAATAAAGTGGCGTTTACTTTCCGTTGCGGGATCAAAGACGGTCCTCGGTAGGCGCGTACGGAAGAATACGCTTTCGCGTGTTACGTATCGGCCGATACAACAACGGCGAAAATTCGCGGATTACCCGATCCGACGAATTATTAGGTCAATCGGAAAGTTCCGTCCGTTTTCTTGCAAAACGTGTGACTTTATTTAAGAAACCAAATGAAAAAGTACATCAATCAAAATATTGTCTATCGTTAGCGATGACTTTCTTCCATCTTTCGATCAGCAAGCGAATTCCGCGGAGAAAAAAATAACTTATCTTTGGAGGCTATCCAGTCAGAGACTCATTTTTCGACGTCTTCATAAGAATTGAAACATTCGTCAGCAAGTGCGTGTGCCATCGACCGAAACAAGCGGTAGTCGGAAGGGGCGTAGCCTGGTGAATAAGCCGCATGCGGTAACACTCCCCAGCGAAGTGCTTCTTGACATTTCCTTGACAGATTTTGTGACGTGAGGCCGAGCGTTGTTATGAAGCAAAATCACTTTATGCTGTCTCGTTTCATATTCTAGTCGTTTTTCGTGCAATGCTCGGCTCAAACGGATCGCATGTTCTCTGTAGAGATCCCCTGTGACTGTTTGATCACTTTTCAACAGCTCATGGTACAGCACACCCTTCTGATCCCACCAAATACAGATCGTTGCCTTCTTCCCGTGGATATTCCGCTTTGGCGCCGATGTTGAAAGTTGGCCAGGATCGCAAATAGTTTTTCGACGTTTGGAGTTGTCAAAATAAATTCATTTTTCATTCCCAGTGACGATACGATGTAAAAATCTTTTTCTTTGTTGCCTACGAGCACGTGTATGAAAACGTAAAATCCTATTTCGCGCAGATAAACGCATGATCACCACCTGTCATTTATTTTTCGTGATGAGATACAAGAATATGCGACGGAGGAAAACTGAACTCTTCGGGGGCAGATCAACAACGAGGTACTTTGGACTTGTTAGTTAATTTTGACAGGCTTTACATCTCGAAATCTTACTTTGGAACTTTTTGTATGTACACCGTATTCTACGAATATTCTAAAAAAGGATCAGTGATAAACAGTGCTGATTTCTCTCTTTCCTGGTATTTATATTTTTTAAGGAAAAAAGTCATCTCCAGAGCGGAAGAATATCTGATAGTTCTGAAATATCAATACAAAATGTCTAGAGAATGCTGGAAATTCGGCGAGTAGTATAGAATAGCAAGCTAAGCGATTGAATCTTATGTTACATTACGCACTCATCTTACATTCGGCGCACTGGCAATGAGCGCGCTTAACGAGAGCGCTAATAATTCCGCAATAATCGCGACGTCGACGACAATACGCACAACAAGAGTGCGATAATAATACTATTCTGGAAGAACAATGTTTGATTTAATTAAAGAAATGGAACATGTAATATCAGTGGACCCGCGTAACCTTCGTGGCGATAAATTCCAAGCTGACAAGTAACACACAAATTCTCAGGTTGGATACCACGACAATTGAAGAACCTGCTGCAAAATGTAGATAAGAGTGTGACTTTTTTACAAAAATCAATTTACATATGTATGCCGCATGTTCCTGCGTTCGGTGAGCGAGTTTTCACGCGAGAGAATAAGATGAATTAATACAGAATGTTTGAGATCTTTTGGAAATGAAAATTAATGAAACTGAGAAGAAAAGTCAAGTATTAATTTGCAAAAATCGCAATAATTATTAAGTTATTAATGATTGAAAATGGCCACATCTAGAAGATTTTTTAATTGATGACTTGAAAATTTAAATACTTATCTACAAATGGTAAAGGACTTTTTTGTTCAGAATGACCTAACCTACAATTATGTGATAATCATTGTGTCTAGCAATATGAGTATATTGAACTTTGAATGCTGAATCTTAAACCAGTCGTTAGACACAATAGCCGTCATATAATTGTAGATTAAGTCATTCTGAACAAAAAAGTCCTTTACTCCATTTCGTACGTACCAGGTATGTAAATATGAAACCGGAATTTTGGTATAGAAAATACACGTTTATTGTATGAAAATGATAAAAAATATTTTATTCGAAGTATTGCTCATCGCTAGCTATAAATTTTTCCCACCTGTCTGACAATTTGTGAATGCCACGCCAAAAAAACTGTTGCTCTTTTGAGGCAAACCAGTTATCGAGCCATTTTCGTACATTTTCGTAAGAAGTGAAGCGCTGCTCAGCAAGTGCGTATCCCATCGACGCAAATAAGTAGTAATCGGACGGAGCCAAGTCTGGTGACTTAAGTCGCATGCGAAAGTATTTCCTAACTAAACGCTTCAATCGTTTCCTTCACCAGTTTTGCCGTGTGTGATGGTGCATTATTATGAAGCAAAATCACTTTGTGTTGCCTTTTTTGATATTCTCGTCGTTTTTCACGCAAAGCTTGATTCAAATCGATCATTTGTTGTCGGTAGCGTTCAATATGAACGGTTTCGCCAGATTTTAGCAGCTCATAATAGATCACAACCTTCTGATCCCACCAAACACAGAGCATTGTCTTCCGTCCATAGCGATTTGGCCTTGCAGTCGATGTCGATGGTTCGCCTGGAGTTACCCATGATCTTTTACGCTTAGGATTCTCAAAATATATCCATTTTTTCATCGCCAATCACAATTCGATGGAGAAATGACTTTCTTTTGTACCTGGCGAGCAGCATTTCGCAAGTGGTTTTTCGGTTTTCCTGCTGTCTTTCATTCAGTTCATGTGGAACCCATTTTCCCATCTTCTGGATCTTTCCCATAGCTTTCAAACGTATGGAGACGGCTTCTCGTGTCACATTTAATTGATCCGCGAGTTGTTGTTGCGTTTTGAGCGTCATCCTCATCCAACAATGCTTGCAATTCGCTTGTCTTCAAACTTTTTCGGTGGTCTTCCACCTTCTTCGTTTCTCACGTAAAAATCGCCACGTTTGAATTTTTTAAATCACTCAAAGCACTGTGATTTACCAAGAGCATGCTCACCGTAAACTTCGACAAGCATTCGATGCGATTCTGCAGCAGTTTTCTTCAAATGGTAACAAAAAATCAATGCTGTCCGCAAATCGTAGCTTCCAGGCACAAAATTCGACATGTTTAACGCTATTACAAACTATGCTGTTGAATTGTTATTGATATGAAATTTGTATTGTTGTGAGTTGACGGTAACTACATTGGCAGTTAGGGCCATCTATGGGCAAATTCCGGTTTCATATTTACAGACCTGGTAAGTACGTAAGTAAATAGGCAAATAAGTACGCAAATTTTCAAATTAGTCAATTCAAAGAGCCTCGAGATATGATCATTTACAATTATTAATAACTTAATAACTTAATTATAATTTTTGCAAAATGGTACATGACTTTTCTTCACAATTTGATCTGATTAGTCTTTATAATTTTCCGTTTCCAAAAAATCCCAGACCCCGTACATTCTATTAGTATAATACGCACATTTTACATATGGAGGGGTAGAGAGAGAGAGAGAGGGGAGAGGAGGGAGTGGGAGAGGGAGAGAGAGAGAGAGAGAGGGAGAGAGAGAGAGAGAGAGAGAGAGAGAGAGAGAGAGAGAGAGAGAGAGAGAGAGAGAGAGAGAGAGAGTAACAAAAGATTTTTAAAACCATTTTCTAACGGTTAAATTATATTTCAGTGTTCTTCAGATTATTATATGTTTTATCCAGTGGAAGTTACTCCGTCCCGTGGATTGTTTGAAAATATCGCAGAGACTCTCGAATTTCGGCACTGAGAGAAACTCGAAATGTCTTCCAAGACAATAAAAATAATAAATACATCTCTAACATGCGTGATATATGTAGAACCCCCCCTCCCCAATAAGATAACGATAGATGGAGAAGTAAAATATTAATAGCTTAATAAATAAAATTCGAATTCTACGTCTATTCGAATTTACTTTTGATGTTTTTCTGATACAGAGAAGGTTTTAATGTGTATCTTTAAGGGGATTCGAATGTTATTACTATAAAAAAATGTAACTATTCCAATGCGTTCTTTATTTAAAAAAATGTATAATTCATTCATAGAAATAAAATTATATGTATAATCTCAACATTACATACATCACTTTTTACGTTATTGTTATAATAATGTTACAAGACTGATATTTTATACGTGTACAGAAGTTTTATACGGTATGATAGAGAAAAAATTTATTAAATGAAGTTTATATGGAAATTGTCTAATAGAGTAGAAGAACAAATTTTTTACATTGGTTGCAATTTGAAACCTCAGTAGGCGTACCGTTGATCAAAGATAACATTACTGATGTATACTTATATTTTTATCTATTATAATATAGTAATGATCTTCAGAGATTCAGTCTTTCTAGCAAAAGTTCTACTAATATAATGTACTTGCACTATCAGTAAACGGTTCATTATATAAGTTGAATAAATCACTTAAACTCGTAAAAATAATTAAAAACTTATTACGATAAGACACGTCATTGTCCTCGAAATTTCTACATGCCTTAAGAGAAATAAATTCATTTTCAATTGGTGTTAAATATAATGGCGCACGCAGAATTGTATGTAACTCCTTCTCGTTTCTTCCGAATTTGAAGAATGACTCGGCGGTTACAATAAAAGGATAATATTGATTCTTTAATATTGACATTTTCCCGCTCGTAAATCCCATTCTCTAATATTTGCTTCAAATGCTATAATAATATTTGGTGGCTTATACGAATGCAATTGGTTAACATAATCGCGAAAGGACATGCGGCAACTTTGTACCCGGAGTGTTCTATTATATCGTTTGCAGTTCGAACAAACAACGATATTTACATATACGTGTTGCATCTCTGATCCTATCAGTACAATTTTTAGATGCTTTAATGTCCAAGTTAAAATATGTAGCATAATTTCCCAGGCTAGTATATATATATATATATAAATACTAGCCTATTTTAGATATATAATATATATATATATATATATATTATGCATCTAAAATATTTGAACTCATACGCACATGCGTGCTTATAAGTGCAAATGGCTATGTGTTTGTTGTATTTTGAACTGCCAAATTCCAAATTCGGGCTGCTTTTTGCTTTTTGGAATGCGCCAAATCCGGGCGTATTTGTAAAGCGGTCAACTATTGTCCATTTCTATCCACCCACTCAAATCCTTTCACTAGTTATCCAACGTGACAAACATATTTCCTAGCTGAAAGAAGAATTAACAGGCAACAATTTCAGCACAATGACACTTTCTACATTTTTCGTCTACTTGAGATAAGATTGTAACAATCCTAGTGGAAAGAATAATATCTTTCTTGTGTGCAATAAATATATTTTTCTTTATTGGTGTAGAATTCCATAATTAACATTATATCATATTATTTTTATAGTACAGCATAAAGTAAACGAATTTCTCCATCAAGCAATTGTTCAATTGCTTTGGAATTTAAGTATCATTATTCAGAGAAAAAAATAAATATGTATTAACATTACCTATTGGCAAAAGGGAAAGAAAAAGAGAGGAAGAGAGAGAGAGAGAGAGAGAAGAGAGAGAGAGAAAGAGAGAGGAGAGAGAGAGAGAGAGAGGAGAGAGGAGAGAGAGAGAGAGAGAGAGAGAGAGAGAGAGGAGAGAGAGAGGTGTAACAAAAGATTTTTGAAACTACTTTTTAAGGGTTAAGTAACATGTCAGTGTTTCTCAGATTATTATATTCTTTTCCAGTGGAAGCGCCATGTCCCGTTGACTGTTGGAAAATCGTCACTCAGAGACTCTCGATTCTCGGTACTGAGAGAAATTCGAATTGTCTTCCAAGACAATAAATACAATAAACACATCTCTAACATGTGTGACGTAGAAACGTGTGATGTAGGCTTAGAAACCAAAAAATGTAACGGAAGATGGAGAAATAAGTTGTTAATAGCTTATAAAATAAAATTCGAGTCATACGTTTATTCCATGAATTTATTATTTGATGCTTTTCAGAGAGGGTTTTATACCTAAGGGGATTATTCAGGTATTATTACAATGAAAAAATGCAACTCTAACTCAATGCATTCTTTATTTAAAAAAATGTATAATTCATTCATAGAAATAAATTTATATATATAATCTCGTTAATTAGTACATACCTCTTGCATTATTACAATAATCTTACAAGGCAGATATTTTATACGTATACGGAAGTTTTACCGTGGTATGATAGAGCATATTTTATCAAATTAATTCTTATGTGGACTTGTCTAACAAAGTAGAAGAAATTTTTTACAGTGGCTGCAATTCGAAACCATAATATATGTACTACTGTTGAAAAATATCGTCAATGATGTATCTTTTTATTTTCATCTATTATAATAATGATCTTCAGAAATTCATCTCGCAAAAGTTCTACCGATATAAAGAAAATGCACTATCAGGTTCATTATATAAGTTGAATAAATCACTTAAACTCTTAAAGATAATTAGAAATCTATTACGATAAGACACGTCATTGTCCTCGAAATTCCTATATGCCTTAAGAGAACTAAACTTATTTTCGATTGGTGTTAAATGGTTTAATGCTGTACGCAGAATTATACATAATTCCTCCTTGTTTCTTTCAAATTGGATTTCGATCCGGCGGTTACAACAAATGGACATGACTGTTTCTTTAATTTTGAAATTATTTCCGCTCCTAAATCCCATTTACCAACATCTATTTCAAATGCTATAATTACATTTCGTGATTTAAGTGAAGGCATGTTGTTAACATAATCACGAAAGGACATGCGACAACTTATATCCCGAATTTTCTGTTATATTGTTTGCAGTACGAACAAACATCGATATTTACGTATGCGGACTGCGTTTCCGATCCTATCAATACAACTTCTAGACCATTTAATTTTCAAAATAAATATGTAGCATAATTTCCCAAGCTAGTATATATTGTACATCTAAAGTATTTGTGATTATTATATGAACGACATAGTGCGGATCTTATATATGAAGATAATCGTTTATTATTTCATAATACAGTGCCAACGGTCCTGATAGATAATCGGAATAGAATTTGTTTATATGATCAGATAATTGATAATTTGTAAATGTTTCAATGAATCGTTGCATGTTAACAACATTACGTGTAGTGGCTGAATTAACAAGAGTGATTCTATGATAAGTTAATGATTCTATGTTAAGCTCATTATGTAAGTTTTGATCAGTTTCGAGACACGATTTCAATTTAGTGGAATTTGAACTGTGATGATTTGTTAAATCTCCTGCATTATTCGAACAATAGTTCACGCAAAAACACTCTGTATAAGTTTAAAGATTATGCTGTTCATGACAAATAAAACACGATTTGGCGAATATGATCATTTGCACTCCGTACGGCTTCATATCATGGTTTAATTTCTTTTTGACTAATTCTAAAAGCTGTTTCCTCGACTTGATCCAATTTCCCAGTTTGAAATTACGAGTTTGCCACAAAACCGTGTGACTATGTAAAAGTTTTGTAAAAATTTTGCGGATTCTTCATGTTTCGTTTTATGTTCAAATTTGTGATACCTGCTATAGTAAAAAATCATGCACGAACGATATATTGTATTGAAATCTTCAAAATATGCCTCTAGTGATTTCGGATCTCTCTTGCAAATATGGCAAATATTTGGATTGAAGAAGTTGCGATAAGTATCAGTTTCTGAACAAATATTTCTCAATGGTGACATAGCGTTGGTATCTCAGACATACCGATATTACGATTTTCTTGTTGATGAGTCGACGACACTCTTCTGTGAAGTTATGCTAATATTTTGATGTAATCGATATTTACGGAAATGTGTTATATGTAATATTAATTTATAAATAATGTGCGCAACTCGGTATTTCTTAGCGGGAATAATAAATTCTGCTTCCATGGGTTACGCAGAATCTAAGTTACTGTTCGAGAGCACCAAGAAGATATCTACCATGGAGATATTATGTTATTGTATTTGTGTATTATTATATGTTTATTTATGCTTTTTGCATGTCTCAAGAATCAGCAAACAGAATTGTGTTTGAAAATGTAACAAACCTATTTTCCTTTATTATATATTATTAATCAATTTGCATTTATAATTTGTATTAAGTTGTTTAATAAATATCGTGATGTGCGTCATAAACGTTAGCAATATAACCACCGGCGTCATAGATCTTAAGTGGCATGTATTAATCTCGCTACGATTCCAGACAATATACGAGGGTAGTCCCAGAAGTACTGACCTGACGTAGATAGCGGTTGTTGTTGTGAAAAGAATTACTATGGTGAAAGTACCAACCTTATAAAGTTAAGTTGGAAGTCTTGACGACGCTAGTTGTTTAGTATTTATTGGCANAAACTGCGGCGGAAGGGGAACGGGGAAGACGGAGGGAAGGAGATAGAGGGACCGAGAGGCCAAAGGGTGAGAAGAGGAAGAAGAAGAAGAAGAAGAAGAAGAAGAAGAAGAAGAAGCGGCGGCGACGGTGGTGGAGGCGGTTGCTCCGAGGGATGTTGGCAACACCGGTTATTAAGTAGATGCTACATTGAATGGGTGGATGAATATTTAAGACGTTCAACAAGTTGCGGATTTTTCTTTAATCAGGCTAACCTGCCCCTCTCTTTTCCCATCCTCCGCGCCACTCTCGGCTCTTTCCCGCGCTGCCTCCTCCTCGTTGCTTTTCCACTTGCTGAAATTATGGCGCGAGGCGAGAGAGAGAGAGAGAGAGAGAGAGCCGGGCTGTTTATGCGGACAGAGGGAGAAAGAGGGAATCTCAAGGAGTTCGCCACTCGACGAGACACGGTCTCGGTCATGCCTCGCCGGCTGACTCGACCCGACGTCGTCCCCCGAGTGTCGAGTCGCCGCGGTGTGTTTTTGCGAGCCGGGGCAATCGATTTTTCGCCAATCTCCTTTCGTAATCGGATCCCGCGCCGTCGCGCTACGGCCGCCGCGAATTTCCCCGAGAAATTAAGGAACGGACCGTGCGTTTATTTAGACTTTAAAAGCCCTCCTCGCGACTCCCTCCCCCCCTCTCTCTCTCTCTCTCTCTCTCTCGCGCGCGCTCTCGCTCTCGCTCTCGGCCGGGCGCTGATTTAAATGTGGCTCACGCGGCCGGGATCGATCGATCCCTCGTTCCGTATCCATCTGCCGGATTGGTCCGCGGTAGCGGATAGGTCGATGGACAATCGGCAAGAATGAAGTTTTATTTGCGTCGTGTATTACTCTCTCCGCGAGATAGCGTCGGTCGGGCGGGCGGGAGGGAAAGAAAGGCGAAGGGGCGAGAGTCGGGGGAAGATCGTCGGCGGTGAAGGAGGAGGGCTCACGAAACACTCTAAATCCCCGAGGCAAATAGTTTTTCTTCGATATCCGTCGGCCAGAAACAAACAAGATTCTTTATAGACGGAGCAAACCACTCTTCTATAAGTACACCCGCTCTCTTCTCCCTCCCGCGCCTTGCCAACTCCTCTTTCTCCTCTTTTTCTCTCGCGGCGAGATGCTGCTCGCACGCGCGCGCGTTGTGTGTGTGTGTGTGTGTGTGTATGTGTGTGCGCGCGCGCGCACGCGTGTGTGTGTGTGTGTGTGTGTGTAGGTGAGCGCAGGCGCGTACGTTGTTTGCGCGCGTTCGCTCACGCTCGCCAAAGTAAAGTAAGCTTTTAGCGGAGTGGCTGATTTATCAATGTATTTATTCCGAGATATTGAATTCATTTAGTTAAGTAGCGCCGGCGGGGGCGGCCTCTCTCGCGCTTTCTACAGCTATTTTCACCTTGGCTATAGAGGGTGCCCCGAGCGACGGAGCTCTCGGCTCGGCAGCCGTTCGAGCCGAGAGAGAGAGAGAGAGAGAGAGAGAGAGAGAGAGAGAGAGAGAGAGAGAGAGAAAAAGCAGGCCCGCCGCGCGACTTGCCGTCGTCGATGGACGCTGAGTCGCGGGAAATGATCTTGATGAATCGTCCGCTCTCGAAAATTGCTCGCGGCGAGTGATATACGGCGATACCGGCGATACCGCGCGCCGCTCTTTAATCTCTGGCCCGATTTAGCGCGCAGATTATATTGTCCGAAATAACACCGGCCGCGCGAGTTCCGGTCTCTCGCTCTCTCTCTCTCTCTCTCTCTCTCTCTCTCTCTCTCTCTCTCTCTCTCTCCCTCCCTCGTTGGCGCTTGGAAATCAAAGGGACCGGACGAGACGGATCGACTGGCGGTTCGCGCTTGCCAGTAAGTGCGGCCGTTCGCGACACCCGGTGTATCCGCGGTTCGATACCACGCGCGAGCGTCGATATTACGAATAACTAGTTCAATCTCCTCACTCCATCTGAAAAAATTTGCGCTATCGGAAATAAAATATCGCGCGCAACTTTTTCGTGTAATATTTTTATTGTGCATTTCATCGATTTGCGTCAATCTATGTTTCAACAATTTATCGCCGCATGACGCCCGGCTAATTTGAGATATTCGAAATACCTTTAATCTCGGCTATTAATAATATCGCTAAATGCATTTAAACGCGCGCGCGCGCGTGACCGCCTCGCGCCGGGCCGAAACGGCGGGGACGAAGAGGGGGAGGGGGGCGGGGAGGGGAGAGGGAGAGTCGGCCGGCGACGGTGCGGAGGGGCGACGGGTAAAAAATATAATGCAACAATAAGCCGCGCGGCTTATGAACTTTTAGGTATTTATTATTTGTGAAACATCGCGATTCGGAGTTTCCTGCCCCCCTCCCGCCTTCCGCTCCTCCTCCCCTCCACCCCCGGGGGGTGTAACGATTAATCCTCGACAGAGTACATTTACATATTACAGCATGAGTAATTAACCTGAGCCGAAAGTATGACAAATGTTCTGAATTAATGATGTATAATTAAATCAAGTACCGCGCCCGGGTTGTCTACGTCGGCTACATATTTCCGTAATCAGCTTCTCTCATTTAATTTGCAAATTAACATTCGTAACGCGCGAAACAACTATTTCATAGTCTAACGTGATTAAATCAATCACCTGACGCCGCGCGCGCGAGCCCGCTCGCTCGAATTCGCGGGCGCGCGAATTAAA